GTTACCGACATCCTTGGTGAAGTTGACAATATAATTTCAGCAATACTTAGCTTGAAAAAAGTGCATCTGCTGGCAGTCGGTTTGCGGAAGTATCACCGACGTATTCAGGATTCGGGTGCACGCAGTGGCGTTGGATTGAATTTCCCTTTAACATTAACGGCCAAATACAGCAAGCGGATCGTTCTTATTGACTTCAGCCATATGATACATCATCATGCCAGCCCGAGGCTGCCTGGATATCGTCGACCGGGAGTCGGTAAACGTTTGATTATAACCGTCCCCAACTCAAATTTGGATGTCTCAAAACCGGAAACCGGAGAAATTTTGCGAACGTTCATGGTCGCTTTGGAACGGTACTGTCCGGCTGTGGACGAAGAAACTGCAGAAAAGCTTAAATTGCTGCACACGGGATGGCTGCACGCGGAGACGTTTCCAGAAAATGGATGGTCGGAATTCAAAAAGTTTCTGAAATGGTAAGGCATCCATTTACTGAATCCGTAGACAACAACGAAAGAGTGGTGTGAATATAGCACAGTTCTGGACCATTATGTTTGTCACGAATTAGGTGTAGCAGTCTAGTAGAAGGGTTTTCAAGATCACAAATACGGTGATAACTCACCGCAAGTTTTTCTTTTTTCTGCTTCACCATATCGTAACGATCCGAAGGATAAAAAAATTTGTTACGCATTCCTGAAATCGTCCGGAGTTACCGGCCGTTTGGTACTACAAGCTTTTTTAAAAAATTTTATCTCAAGGATCGTTTTAAAAAATTTGATGACTTCTTAATTTTGAATAATAAACTAGACAAAAAAAGCGGCATTACGGCAAATCAGTAGGTGTGAAGGCCCAAACACCGAAAGCCGTGTATGAGTTTGAACTGCACCCCACAAACGATAGCTGATCGTGCCTTACGCAGTTTCTGTTACGCACAAATATAGTAGTGATTTGTGAAAATACAGTAATGCAAATTTTTTTGTTACGTAGTTACGACACAATTGACAAGCCGCAAGAGTTCTGGGATAATTTGGATGTCCATAACTACGATGCTCTGCCTTTTGGGAAAATGGCTCAAGCTATCATCGCCAGAGATTATTTGGCCTAACTTAAGTAACCTCTTTTGCAACCCTTATTCTTCCTGCAAGCACAGCATGGAATGGTACGAAAAATACTGTCTGCAAGGTTATAAAGCTTGCAGGATCACTGAGAACAGCTTCAATCACAACAGATGTATTTCCTTTAATTATTCGGTTCCATCCATGGTCACGAGAACGGAAACCCCTAATAAAGTCCCGACTGCAGAGTACTGCGCACAGACGTGTTTACTGATCGCAGCTATAGGGGATTTGCTTAATGATGATTCTATGCTGTCAATAACAAATACAGTAATAACCACGTACTGCCTGCGCAGTTGATGGATCTCGTCGTGGTTGTTTCGTGAGTATTGCGAAACAACCTTTCAAGTTGACCTTCAACGATTCAACAATCTTGTTGCTATAGCGCGCTTATGACAGCCATTTTAGCAGTGAAAACGGATTGAATCTCCCGCGCGAATGTAAATCCGCGATACTTCCCACCATGAAAAGAGACCTAAGCTATCGTACGTATAGTTTAATATTTTCAGGGCAGATGCTTGGCAATGGGCAAGCGGCACTGTGACACCGTTAATTAACCATGTCCATTTCACGCCATGTCGTTTGAAATTTCTCCAGGATTTTGTCTATCTGAATACATTTGACATCTCCAGTGCACAGCGTAAGTGCTTCTTGTAACGCTGCAATGTGTGAGTATTTCAGCACAACAACCTTCGCTCTCGAAGAGCTTTTTTATATTTTCACTATCGCTGCGTTGCATTTATAAATCTGCAGTCCCGTGGATTTTGGAACAGAGTTTGCGTCTGCGGGCACGGTATCGGACGTTCGGTATTGGCCACTGAAGCGTTACCATCGACACACGTACGAAATATATGACCGGGGGTGGCCCAAGGTTTCCAATCCGAGAATCATTAAACTGCTTAGTCGCATGTTTACGCGCGCGACCAACCATGTAATTATTCGACAAGTCCCAAAGGTGCCGGCTCGACTCCGGTGACATTTTAGGCAGTTCGTAACCAGTCGGTGCAGTCCGACTGGCATCTTGGCAACGCCTCTGAATCCGGATTAACGGGGTTCGAAGCAGCTGCATAACAGCGCCGACAGGGCATTTGTCCGTGAAGGGCGCAACTCATGGTCACATCTCAAATTAAATGACTCTAAGAAACGTACACAAACTTCGAAAACTAGAAAATTAAGCAATACTAATCAAGTTTACGTAACCGAAGAACCAAAGAAAGCTGCAGAACCTATAGTACACAACATGTGGATGGAAAGAATGTGTAACAGCGGCACCGTGGTCACTGCCAGCCCTATTATAACGACGATTTTCAGTGCCACTAATATTACCAGTACCACTGTACCGCCACCAGCAGAGCTTTAACTACTACCACCAGACCCATTATCCGTAATTAAACTAGAATCCTTTTTCCAAGTTTTTCTAAGGTAAACATTTTAATTTTCTCATTCTTTTTTACGAGAATGTTTAAGAGCTCATGCTGTCGTTGTAAACTTGTTATGGATTGATCACGCAATCATCACGGCATACATGCCGTGAATTTTGCATGTTTGCCACAAGTGCCTTTCAGCTACACTACACTAGTACAGTACTGCAGCACTGCTGTATCTTAATTAAGCTGCACACCATAGAGGCTCAATTTAATATGCCGGTATCTCTCGTTGGAGTCTACCAAGCAAGTTCGATGTTATAGGATGCTATCATTAATTAGCCGTTTTCAAAGATGCAGAATTGCTGCAGTTTACCCCAGTAAGAATTGTACAGGGGTCACATGATGTCCAGATAAACACTTGGCGAGAAGCACTTGGCGAGGCGGATACACAGCGCCAGGGTGATCCAGAAAGCCGACGTGCGCTTCACACTTAGCCCGTGGAAGTGGTTGCTCGGATTTTCTCGTATTTAGATTTTAGATATCTTTGATATATCCAATTGCACAGCGTAGGTGATGAGCATTGGCATCTACAGTAGTTCAATATTATCGCGCACAAAATAATGACCGAAATAAATACTCGTAGCCGCCATATGAGACGCTTCGGTCAGTGATACAAAGACTGGGTGTAGCCGTGGACCATTTGCGAATGACCATCTCACCGATCGCGACAGCGCCGGTTGGCGCTAGCAATGATAGTGCATAAAAATTAAGTACCACTGCGCAGTGCGAATGGCGAACCTCCAAAGTGTGTAGAGGTCCTCGGCGTCTGGTTCTAGCCACTGACAACAAAGCCTTCACCGGTTTTTGGAAACCGTCAAACTTTACTAGTAGTTTCCGGCGGTTAGATCGATTTTTTGCGTTTTAGTCGATCGATGCGTACTCTGTTAAAATTATCGCCTCATCCACGTTTAATCAACGGACGCAGATAACGTTTTTGCGTTTTCCGTATGCAAAATCCAGTGGAAAAGATTTCTGGAACGTTGTTGGCTCGTGGTAAAAACTTTGGGGGTCCAAATAGTGCTGAGCTGAGCAAGTTGATAGCTTCACCGCATTTTCGTGGTTAGAGCGTGCTTTATTGATTCTTGTTAGAAATTTAGAATACATTAATGATTAATGGATAAACAAAGGGGGTCTAGCAATATGCGGGTAATCGAAAATTTTTTGCATGGCCTTAAACAAATAATTCGAGATTCAGATACTGCTGTGTGCTAGTAAGAATGCTGCTATGGCAATGATAGCCACTATGGTGTCCTTCCTGAAGGTATCAGCAGACAGCACCTATCTGTTTCGGTGTGCGCTCATCGCATGAACTTTATCGTTAGACCTAAGGAAATATTATACACTCATCTGCTTAAGCGTTGTTGCAGGAATGCGTTATTTGAAACAACACAGTAATTATCACCGAGTATTAAAAACATTCATACACTGAGTAACACGATTTTTCTGTCCATTTACTGCAAGCCCAAAGTTATCTTTGTAAGGTAGGTTTTAGAAGTACCCTTCTATTTGTATTTCATTGTTGGTACCAACAGACAGCAAGCGCCCAGATGGCGTTACCTAGACACCATGGGAGAGAGGACGGATGGTGGCATGGGACGCCACTTGTGTCAACACAATGGCCATATCGCACATCGTAGAGACATCCGCACGCGCAGGGGCTGCAGCAGCACAGGCCGAGCAGGTTAAGATCGAGAAATATCGTAGTATCGGGCAGGACTACCTATTCCATGCTCTGGGCTTTGAGACGCTTGGACCGCCCGGATCGGATGCTGCCCGCAAAATAACGAATGCGGACAGAAAATACGACAGAAAACCGGCGAAAAACGAGCCACGGAATATCTTCGCCAGCGGATCAGTATCGAAATCCAACGAAGAAATGCGGCATCGCTCTTGGGGACTGCGCCGATGGGAGCGCATTTAGATCAAATTTTCTCTGTAATTGGCCGCCTCTGTCGATTGAGTTTATTGTGAGATTGTGCACACTGTGTACGTGTATGAACTGAGAATCAGTTACAAATAAAGTTAAAACTAGAGACCGGTTGTTATTTTATTGCTTTAAAGTAAGCAAAAGCATTAAAGTAAGCGAAAGCATTTAAAGTAAGCGAAACGAGAACAGAAATATAGTGAGTCAAGAAATTCATATCGTAGAGCTGCACGTAATAATAGACACATACTATTGTGCAGAGTTAAGACATCATTGTTTTATCGTCTCTGTTGCCGGTTAATGGTTTCCAACTACCTAAAATTTCAATAAACTCATTGGGATTGGAAAATAAAATACACCTAAAATATACCACCGTTATGATCTTCTATGATGTTTGCGAAGCTACACGATATATGTAGGCATTCGCAGTTACGGATAGCGCACACTACAGATCTCCCACTTGTCTGCGGTTACATAACTCACACCGCGGTGGCGGTAACGAGCAGTAGTGTGACGTGCTGAAGCACCTTGAATGGCTCAAGCCACTGTTTATCGATTTTAGCGGTTATATGGGTCACTCGTTTTCGACACGGTCTCGTACGACGAAAAGAAGAAACATTTCAGTAGCTACATATTTTCCACCAGCACGATCGCTGGCGTATTGGCGGTCGCAGCCAATGATTCAGTATTGAAATAAACACAAAAAGAATTGTTGTGCTTACGAGCACGCAAAAGAAGCATTGCGCTAACACACACTGTAAACTGGTAGATCACCATAACGGCGGCTCTACAGTACTGCCCCTGCCCCTAGTAACGGCCGGGACCGATCCACGTGGTTGCTCATACTCGAATACGAATGGCTCGTAAACTCGCGTCACAGCGCTTTCCGTTCGCGTGATGGCAGGACCGTTCTCACTGGATTTGTACGGATAGTTCTGCAAAAGGTCTCGGAGAAGATACTGCTGCCAGCGAGGATATTTGTTTACTTGATCCATAGTTATCCCTGTTGCAGCAAGACTGGGTGTCCGCGAATCCACATTCCAGTGCCTTGAGCAATGAGAAACAGCAAAATGGTTATAATGCTGGTGCATTCTTGAAATCGTTCTTCGGAGAATCGCGGCAGCATTGACCTCACAGCGAGACGGTCACACCGTACTGTTTGTCTATATCTATTACGCATACTTACTTATGCCAGCAGTGATCGCTTTGGAACGGGATATCTGACCGCAGCAGGCTGTCCATAATCCTGCATTCCTGCGACGAAAGAGGGTCGCGTATCAAACTACCAAACAGCTCCAAATGCGCGCTGCACCCGAATTGTCGGATCCGGTCCTGTGGCCAAACGACTCCCGGTTTGAGTGGCACCTCGTCTCGTTCATGGGACCAAATATCATGGGGCCTAATGGCGTCATCGACAACATGGATTCGTAGCACAATTGGCTTTTCCATGCAGGCGTATGAGAATGGCGACAAATGGCAGTTTAACTGTACATTTTGAAAACGAAAAGCCTGCATGAAATATGAACACCACAACCCGTTAGCGTACAACTTGAGGTTCTGTAGTATCAGCGTTAGGTGAGATAATTCCGCTGACTTGTTGCTGTTGTCGGCTCCGCGGTGGATTTGATACAGAGTCGTCGTAATTCCATCAATGCTGTCTGGACAAGGGCCTCTGTAGTGGTAGCTGTACGTGTACTGTGCCATACCATCCGTGTCGTAGTTTAAGTAGAGGTCTGACTCGTCAGGAATTACTGTGGCAAAATCCGCTTCTGGTGGACTGCTGTCGAATGGCCAGCGCACGATCAACTGCCGAGTGGATCGCGTTACAAAGCGCTTCAGCACCAACTGGGCCTTTTTATGGTTCGGACCATTACAGCCAAATTTAATCCAGTTACGCAAATCGACTATCACCGTCGCTCGATGCTGCTCCCGCGCAACGATCCGCTCCCAACGCTTGCAGACACTAAAGCACACAAGCCTGTTTACATTGCACATTGACCAACTCGAGACTTCGAACCAACCGCTTCGAACTTATTGTGTCATATGGAACAAGGTAGAGAAGGTATAAAACATCGTTGTGTACGGCAGCTATTACTTATTAGCTAAGTTAGCTTACGTTGAAAATTTGATCAGGTCAATCACATCCAGGTAAGCGGTGATGCGGGATACAATTTCCACTGGCAGTGTGTGGAACGGGCTCAGCTGGTCATTGTTGTCCATTTTGGAAGTCGTGATTGCTGCGCGTTATGCGGAAAACTTAATGGTATTTATCGGGGCTGAGCAAGAAGAAAAAAAGAACTGATGAAATCGACTTTAAACGAAGCCCATCTGCTTTTGTTGCAAAGACACCTGTAAAAATCATTCGACCTAATGGCGTAATAGAGTCACGCTTATCGTGTCGTGATCAATGCGTGATCTGCCGTTTACAGTATAGTATATGGATTGAAAGCGCAGTACATACAGCAGAGTACAGTACACGCTAACGCAGAAGTTGCAAAACGACTTATAGAAGTTTTGTGCGTGTAATGACTTTTGCACTTGCAGGTTATCGTCTTAAGTACACACCTTCAATGCAGGCGTGACGATAACACTTGTACTGTATGTACTCTACACTGAAATTAAGAGACGATTAAATTTTTTTAGACCGGCTTCGCAAAGCGGCACCAAAGTGTGATGTATATTTGCAGTATGTATATGAATACACTCGTATACTGAAGTGCAGTGTTTCTTTACATAAAATAATGTATTATTCTGAACCTTTCCTTGTACATTTAGCTTATACACAACAGTTAACACTTAACATCACAACGCAGTACACTCAATCAGCAGAAAACAGCCTCGGGAGGTCTAAGAACAGTTACAATGTTACAATTATTCATGTAAGTACACGTACAAACATAATTGTTCATATACATGTACGACTGCAGCTTCGCAACGACCAGGCACGATCGGTAGCAGCGGTCCGCTCCAGTCCGACGCTGACTATCCGCGTAATGCATTAGCACTACTACGATATTTGCGACCCCTGGATAGTCATTACTCATTATGTCAGAAGACAAAGAGCAACGCAAAAAGGGAGCAAATCTAGCACCTTTATTGTGTCAGCAGTAAAGCAACAAAGCCAACAGAAAACCGCAACCTATATGCGGAAAAAGCTTATGGAGAAAAGTTGCTGCCAGCGAGCTCATGAAAATCCAACGTAATGAGCAGCGTGCTGCAGCTGTGTATCAGCTGAAGCTGCATAACATGGAATTGCGCGAAGGCTGGGCTCCACCCCCACGAGTGCCATAGCGAGTGCGCTGATTGGTCAGCGTGGTCAAGTATACGCTAAGCTGTCAGCCTGTCAGCGTAGTTGCGCGGCACGAGTGTCGTGGCCACCTGCGTGCGGGCGACAGAGCAAGCCCAAGTGTAAGCCACAAGAGTTGTCTACCGCCTCGAGTGTGCAGTCTCTGACAATTGGTACCGCGAAGTGCGATCCAGGTTTCAGCATCATCTTCAGCTGGGTCAACACCGAGGTGTTACACAGTAGATCATGACTGTCCGCTTGTGACAAGAAACTTTTTAAAAAAGCAGTAAAATATAACAGTTACTGAGTGATAGTGCCAGGCATTTGAATTTTTTCTGCTTAAAAACGCTCCAGGGGGCAAAACTAATTCGGTATAGCCATAGAGAAGCTATTTTTATTTCTCCAGGAACTTGGACAGCGTTTGTTACGAGTCCTTGTTGATATAATTCAGTTTTATTGTTAGTTTTGGGTTGTAATTATTCCGCAGAGATTTTTGAATAAGAGCATAAGTAGGGTTGTTAACGGTGCGGTTTTTTACCAGTGCACCGGTGCAATTTGAAAAAATTGCGGTGCGGTTTTGAAAATAAATTGGTACAGGCGGTGCGGTTTTGGGAAAAATCACACCGGCGCACACCGGTGCGTCTGGGTAACCGCGTTGCCGTACACCGGTTAACCACCGGTTAACCGAAGGATATAATTATAATAATTTTGTAATTAAAATAAATAATTTTTGTGAAATGACGCTGCAAACTGGGTTGAAGTGGGTTCCCGCCCACAGGGTGCACAGGCTGACGCGATCGTAAATTTGTATTCTGTAACGTGTAGACCATTTCACTCGCAATTCACATGTCTAATTACTCGAAGCTCGCTTGATACTATGGCTGCTGCAACAACCGAGCTGCCACAAGAAAGAGATTGTGCAGCACCGTGCGCAAGAGTTTGTCTTGATTTTCCACGCTCTGTAGTGTTGTTTCAGTCAATAAAACTCATAAAATAATCAGTTCTCGATATTTTACGTTTTGGAGCAGATAATGTCTACATCTTCATATTTAAACAGTTAAGGTTAGTAATGTCTGGCACGGTGCAGGCGTTGATGTGTCTTAAGCCTGGGTATCCCACTGGCTACTGCAAAGCAGTGCCAAGAAGTTGTTGAAACTGATAAAAATAAAATCGGTAATTAGTTGCTCTTTCGGCTATTTACTTGCGCTACACCGGTGTACACCGGTGCGGTGCGGTGTGAAAAATTGCGGTGCGATTTCTGTTTTTCACCGCACCGTCCGGTGCGATTTTTCCCTTTACACCGGTAGGCTAGGTGCGGTTTCTTGTAAAAAACCGCACCGAAGGCACACCGGTGTACACCGCACCGCACCGTTAACAACCCTAAGCATAACGCACTTTGGATTTTCATCTACATGCAATTGTACGTGCGACGCCAAAGCGCCATGGTTTACCGTACGTTGATTGTACTACCTTGTAGAACCCAATCCCCAATGCATGCAGGCGGTGACGATGTGACAGAGGTCAACTTCCCCGCTGATATTCGCTTGACCGAGTTCCAAAGGCAAATCCTAATATGCAGCCACTAAGTAGTAAGTAAACAGCAGACGCTCCGGGCTAAAAAGTACTTAAATGTAGTAAACAAGCGGTATCAAAACGATGGCATCGCAACCATCCAAAAATAGCCGAACAGCTGTCGTACCACAGGTTCTTGCTACTGCAGAAAAGCCTCAGCCAGGACACTGAACAGGGCCGAGCACGAAAACGGGGTCCATTGTAGCGCCCTCGGCATACGAGGGCTGCTGATTTCCATCGCTGGTTACATCATATCCGTACATCGTTACTTGCGCCGTTTGATCACACTGCTGCGAACCAAGATAAGTGGATACCGCTGTCACGGTATAGCATGGGGAACTGCCGGAATCCAGTATTCCAGTTTTTGGTTTCGGTTGGGCAAAAGGCACGCAGCTACGAGCAGTCCAGGTAGATTCTGTATAGGTTTGTGACGGGGGCACAGCTGTATATACTGTCACCATTTCCGAAGAGCACGAAAACTCAAAACTCAACGTAGTCCAGGGTGAAAGTCACGGTTGCCGTGAGGCACGGGCAATTCCATTCAACGCCGGTATCCGCGGACGACGAGCAGGTGCTGGAAATTTCCGAGCATGTGTCGATGATCTTGGTGATGACGGAGGTAATGGCACAGCACACCAGCGGCGTGAAGGTGGGGCTGGGACAGATGGGACTGCTGGTCGTGGCGGAGACCCTCTCGTGCTGTCCCTTCCACTTCAGTGGGCCCAGTCCAGCGCCTGGGCTATCGTCGTAAAGCGGCATGGGTGGGACGTACTGTGGAACTTTCAGCAGTATCTGAGGCGAATGCGCAGTGTAGCGGTAAGAGGAGCCGGCGTTGCCCAGCTGGATACTTGGGAGGACGTAATAGACGTCCTTCATGTCATGATATCCGCCCACCTTCCCCATTACCTTTAGAAATATCGTTGCGATACAAATCTGAATTAGCACAAGCTGATCGTCTGATTCTGCAAATGATTTTCGACTGTCTTATGCAACGCATTTCGAAAGGACACTTTCACGTACATTGTATATACTCACGCAACGTTTTATTGAGTTTGTTTGTATGGAACTATATTGTATGTATGCAGACATTTATCAACGTAAATGACCCTACTGTGATTCCCTACCTGTGTTGATTTATTGTTTTATTAACAATAACACAAGGGTGTTTGCACATATACAGATACGTATTATGCTAAAATAAATATTGGGCAAACCGTTTACTAAGATTATGTTAGCAAGGACCAAGTTTGTACATACATGTACTTGCGTTAAAAAGAGAATGCTTCCCAATACGGTATCCAAATCCATGGCACTACACCGCTGATTCGGATACGCATAAACGTAACACATAAACGTAACACATTAGACATTTTTCGCAACTGCTCCGCTTAACCATAGCACTACACTTAACCATACGCTATGGTTAAGTGCGAGCGTATGGTAAGTGCGGATACCATACAAATTCGTTGTATGGTAGCTGACTTCCAAAGGCTCCTCTTAGTTCCCATACACTTTAACTTCGTTAGAGCTAAGCTTTTCTAGCACAGAAAACATTGGAGAACTTGAATTTTGATGTTTCAAAGGATGCCATACCGTGTAGCACGAGAAAAAAAAATAAATACGAAGACCTCTAGAAAGCAACTGCGCTGGTTTTAAGGTATCTTGTACACTGTCACTCCGATGGCGGTGTCTAGCTACACGATAAGGTATGGTTAAGGTATGGTTATGGTGTCTTTGCGAAAAGCCTCTATTTGCTATAACGTAACACAGAAAAAAGAAACCGTGCAAGAGCTGGTCACTGTATGGATTTTATTTACGTAGAGGTATTAATTTTAACGGTTTACGTAGGCATAATCTTACACGATTCATGGACTTGCATTGTCGACAAGAAAGTACAGCAGCAATTTCTCATGTACGACAAAGTTACTGAACTTCCAGTTTACAAAGTCTAACTGAATGAACCAGCGCAAAAAACTTGTTTACGTATAATTGTGTGCAGTGCATCAAGGTCGATGATGCCTTGCTAATTCGTTAGAGAGACAACTGCCTTGACGATAAATGGGATGCGTTGGGAGTACGCCGAGCGCAACGAACGAGCAACAATAAAGAACTTAGGACAAATTGCTGGTTTAAATTTTGTACCATTACGATGACACGATAAATTATCTTGTCAAGGCAGCAGTTATGCACCATTTACTGAGAAGCGGCATTTTTGTGTATATGCGACGAGCGGCTTAATTTCTACGGGGCCCGCCTTTTTCGAACTGGTCAAGACGTCAAGTTCAAAGTATGCAGGTTTTTACAGCATTATTGTGAAAATACGTACAACATACATATTTCGGCAGTGGCTTATGTCAGAAAATTCTTCTTTATGAAGACAGCAAAATTAAAAATTGAAAAGGCACAAATAATTTTAATACTTGCTTTAATTTAGTGCAAAACTTGTTAATGCATTCTTCACATACAGTTTGTGCATATGTGAAGCATTGTATATTCCGAAACTTGACACTGAATACTTCAGCGATTAAAACGTATTTAATTCCGAGTTCACGAATAAGCGACTAATACTTTGCTGTCCGGCTTCTACCAGTAACTCAAATCAGTTGCTTGCTTATAAACTATAAATTGTATGCATGCTTTTCCTATTTGCTTGTGCAATAAAGATTTAAACAGAGCGTCTAACTATAACTGCCTAACTTTGCAATCAGTCGTGAGGAAAGTTCTTGGCTTAAAGAATTCAAGGTTTCATATAAACCAATGTCCGATGGTACATTTCTGTAGCTCCTCACAAGAGATAACTTTATCCAAGATCGAAATACAGTAGTTTCTTGCTAATGTACTGGTTTTGCGTTATCTCAAGTAACGGTCACCAAAATTACAAAGCCAGTTCCGGCACCACAAACTTTCAACTTAATGGGGAGTTTAACAGAGAATTTTCGATAAGAAACAGCAAAAGCAATGAACGGTGTCTTCGACCAAAAACCATAACACTGTTATTCCTAAAACCATATGATAATCCTTTTAAACAGACCGTTGCATTTCAGGTATCTATCTATACAGCCATGGCATAACGAAGCCGGATTTGGGCCGAAAGGTGCCCCTAAATAAATCAGCAAAATAAAGTGTCACCAGAGAGGCTTCGACACACTAGTGTGAAACCAATGGTAAGCGGTAGCATTCGCGAGAAGGCTGGATGAACCCATCCATTCGAATGGCCCCAGAGCTCTCTGCACCGCACTAAGACCACTGTGACTATCGGCGCAGACTCCATGGATGTCGACTGGATATTGCTGCAAGAGGTCGCGCGCGAAGTACTGTTTCCACAAAGGGTATGTGCGTATCTCATCCATTGTCAGTTCCATTTCGAACAGACTCTCGTCAGCATCAACTTCCCTGCCCAAGTACCTAACAAAGCAGTCATCAGTCGGCACCGATTAACAAACTTACACATTACTGCTGTAAAGCAGCGCCTTACAATTACAATTAGCTAGAAAGCACGGCCAAATATTGCAAATTATGTAACTTCCTCGCCTCCAAACTTTAGAATGCATGAGAGGTTGCCCGCCACCAAGATGGGCAACCCTGCTGCAAGTATCGCAGGACCTATGATACCGAAATGTACCACTAAAAATTATTTTGCCTATCCTGTATCAAGCGGTTACCATTCCCAGTAGTCCAGATAGCTCCATCCAAATTTTGTCGGCGATCGCAGCACCTTGTCCATGCAGCTTTCATCCTCTTCAGATAGCGGAGCCGGTATAAAGCCACCGAACCGCTCATAAGCACTGCAACCCGGCTGAATATCGGCTTGGGTAAAGGTCTTCCTGTCGAGCTGAATACGGAGAACAAACGGTTTTGGACGTGCCAACCGACCCCGGCCGATGGGTTCGAAATGGCAGTTAATCTGGACATTGTCATAGTGTACCATGGAAAATCCATCGCGAATCACGTGCCAGTAATTTGTGTAGAGCTTCAAATTTTGCAACGTCAAAGTTACCGCCGTATCCGCAAAGGCCTCCCAAATACTCTTCACGATGATGAGGATGTTGTCGATGGTGGTCGCCACTGGACCAGCGTAATTGGAGGAATAGTCGTTTTTCGACACGAAACGACACTCATCCGGCGCTTTTATAACAAGTTCTGCTTCTGCAGGATTATATTCCAATGGCCAACGAAGAATCAGGTGGCGAGTTGATCCCGTTACGAATCGTCTGAGTAGGCATTCGCCTTTATTTCCCGCGATACTGGTGTCCTTGTAGTCACCATCCACGAATTCGAATTGATTCAGTTTGTTTATATACCATGTGTGGATGTCGACGATGATATTCATCTGGACCAAAGGGGAATTACTTGCGATTAGGTGCCACCGCTTGCACACCCTACAATACAACGATCAGTGTGTACTTCTTTGTGCTATGCTCTGGACACAAGACGCGATGTCGATAAAACGCTACTAAAAATTCCCCGGCATTACAACTTTTTCTCTGGCTTAATGCGGCCTACAGTCGAACGGATACAAGTATCTTAAATTCTGCATGAGTAATCTCCCCTAAAATGCACTGTATTCCTGTGAAAAGTTTTTTTCTTACGATTGCTTTGAAATTTTGTGACAATCTCAGAGCTTAACGTTATACAGAAATAAATTGAAGAGGTTAATTAAACTACTGCTAAGCTTTAAAAAGTTCTAATTTTATTTCCGATTTTCTGTCTCACAGAGTATTGTCATAAGCAAAATTTTGATAGGAAGATAAAAATTGTAATAAATTACGAGAATCATTTCAGTCAGCAAAATAATGCGCCGCTGGAAATTTTTTATGTGACACTGCAAAGCCGATGTCCAGAAAAATGCAACGCGAATCAAACATATAAGTACGTGAGTGTCCACTGTCAGGTAAGCAAACTAGGTATAAGACTTACATGGAACACTGGGAAATGTCAAATATATCCAGATAAGAAAAGACGCGTGCCACGAGCTCGATAGGTACTCTGTGAAACGGGCAGTAGCGCTGGGCTGCTTCGAAGTCTGCCTTTGAATGGTTTGGAACAAATTTCCGTCTGTAATCTGCGCACAAACATAAAATCTGTTAGCGCAAATACGCATCCTAATTTGCTCCAAGTCCAGCAAATTAAGATTCGACTTACGGTCAAGTTGGTCAGCCATAGTTTATCACGAAGAAAGCGCCGTGTGTCGGAATAAGTTGTTTGAATTATTATTAATCATGAAATCCACGCGTTTTGTACAATAAAACTATCATGACAGTTGAACCCTTATGTTAGCTATGTTATTTCTGGCTTTAAATGCTTAAAACTTTAACGCTGTCACTACAGCAATATGCCGGAAAGAGAGCAGCTGCTGGGATAGTCAACGTTTATCACACGACTGCTTAAAACTCTATGAGCTGGCAGATTGTACTGTGAATATTCTATTTCCGTCGAAGCAGCAGTGTGTCAGCACACTTGGCAGGATCGGCCGACAAACTGGCAACCGCCGGTAATTGCGGGCCTGACGGAGCGTTATACGAAGCGCAAAACGTTCAACACCATCGTACTATCATAGCAAGGACGCGTGTTCTTGCGCTGGGAAATGCATAAGTGTGCCGTGCTTGCATGACTATGATCGGCCAGGATAAGCCGAAAGGGCGACTATGTGGTCAGCTCAGCTGTTTGATTTTCGCACATAATCGTTTCGTAGCGATAATCAAAGCAAGCTATAATCGATATTTATTTTCACAATAAAACCAAGTAGTCACAAGCGGATAACCAGTTAACCAATCTGAATGGTCTTTGCCGTCGATAGGACACTCCGCTCCATATTGTTTGCCGGCAATGGTGGGTCGTTATTGTACTTCACGTTGTGTTATTGATGTATTTGAAAAAAGCGAAAGGTGAGAGTTTATTTTGTGATAACAGGTCATATACTTCGATTGAGCGAAGTATGGGATCGATGTCGACTGATAAAAAACTTCCCACGTTTTTTCCCACATAAAATCGGCTTATACGGCATAAATAAAACTGAAACTTCCAGACATTGACAGAGCAAAGGTGAATGGGACTAAGCTTCCACATCCATGCGAACTACGACCGTACATATGTGGCACTTTTCCAGTATCCAGGCTATGCAATGCGTCTTTGACGAAGCGCCAACCGAATCATCGAAGCAATCCCTTTTAAATATTATAAAACAAAATGGTTCATAGTATACATATATAAAATACTTAAGCCAGTTTAATAATAACGGTTCGCAGCAAGGTCTACAGTTTAATAATAACGGTTCGCAGCAAGGTCTACAGTTTAATAATAACGGTTCGCAGCAAGGACACACCCGAAGGGCCTGGCGCAATTTGTATGGCGATTCTAATCGTCTGCTCCTAGGCACTTCCAGATTTTTCGTTGGCGTCATCTATGTAGCATTGCAATAGGTTGCGCGCGAGATACTGTTTCCACAAGGGATACGATCGAATCTGAGCTAGAGTTAATTCCATTTCGGCTAGGCTCTGGTAAGAAGGGGCTTGACTGCCAAAGTATCTAGAAAACATGGCATAAACTTTTTTCGCGACTGGTAAAACGTCTGCCTATTTCGTATACTGCATGTTTCTTTACCAATAATATTTAAAACTGTTTTTTTTACTGATACAGTATGTACCGAGTATGCGGAGGAGCCATTACATTTTCCAATAGTTGTCCAGTTTCCACCCAATTGTCGTTGGCGACCGCAGTGCCCTGTCCATCCTCACTTCATCGTTTAGAGACAGCGGTCTTGATAAGAAGCGACCAAATCGTTCCCCAACTGCAATGTGATGACTACGCTGCGGTGGATCCTTCTCGCTGATAAGATCTATTTTGTCGACCTCAGTGCATAGGATAAGCGGCCTCGGAGGTATCGCCGAATCTAGGGGTTCGAAATGGCAATTGATCTGGACACAATCGTAATGCATCACTGGAAAGGCATCGCGAATCACCGGTGTTTTCCGATTTTCATCCCAGTGATTTACGTAGAGCTTTAAATTCTGTAAGGTCAGCGTTGAAATGGTGTTGCCAAGGCTGCGCTGCAGTATTTCCACGATTCTTATGATGTTGTCGAGACTTCTGGAAATCGGACCCCAGTAGTTGTACTGATAGTGGCTGCCGTACGTGTTACTACTTATGATAAGTTCCGCTTCCGGTGGACAGGTGTCCAATGGCCAGCGAAGGATAACATGGCGAGTAAACCGTGTAATGAACCGTTTTAACACCGGCTCGCCTTTATAGACCATAAGATAATTATTGGTTTATGGTTCCTGAGACACAAAGTCGAATTTAATGAGCTCGTATCTCAACCATTTCTGGATATCGACGATGACGTTCCTCTGGGAAATCGGAGCCAAATAGAATAAGTAGCGACGAGGTTCCAACGCTTGCAGACCCTACAGGACAACGCAGTCTGCTTCCGATTAACATAGTTCGCATTTCGGTATGCGGGACCAAAAAGAATGGAATACGGGATAGATTTCTTATTTTAATAGGTGCGGGATTTACGGAATAGATATCTTACTCTAATAATCCAAGCGACTTACGTGCAGCAATGGGAGATGTCGAAGATGTCCAAATACGAGAAGATGTGTGCTAACAGCTCTATGGGCAAACTGTGAAACCAACACAGCGGATCGGGACTGCTTCCCTGCGGAAGTGGCTCCGCTTGAAGTGCCTGCATAGCCATAATGCCAGAAACCGCACCACAAGCCACAATTATAATCTCAGCTGTTAATTCCGGCTTACCCGCCCAGCAACTATTGACTTCGCCATACAGCTGCTCTGTGTAGTTACAGCTGTATGCACGTCAGCACGCACATTAGATAATGAAACGATCGAGCGTTCTGATCACGCAGCGTTCACGGCATAATTGCCGTGATCTGCTGGCAAATTACCGAACTGGTAATTGCTTACGCTTTGCATAAACATTCATTACACAAACCGCAAAGCGCTAGATGTATTCCGCAGCCAGGCGTCATATATGTAGTCAGATTCACTGCGTAAAGTTTAAGCAGGGAACACAATCAAGTAACAGTCAAATTATCACAAGAACTGTAATGGAATAACCGTTGACTCTTGCGGTATTGCTGGGTGTACTGTTTACTGGCAATTTCATCTGAGTTTGACTTTTGAGCTCGACCAGACCTAAAACTGCACATGGCTGCAGTCCAGTAGGTGCCTAACAGAATGCACAGAATAGTAATGCCATAATCATGCTTGAATCTTGTCGTACTGCGAAGTGAATGTTAACGTCTGTGACCGGCAAAAATGCTAGAGGAGGGACGCAGATGTATGCAGCACGAAATTTTTTTTACAGTGGACGCCGAAAACTGATTTTCGAGAGGCCTTCAGAGTGCCGCCAACCGCTTTTAGGTTTCCTTAAATTGGAATCGAGGAAAAACAAGCTGATTTTGCTGTGCACTGTACTCTGTACTGACGCTCACAAACGCCCGTTTTCACATCTGACTGCAACATGCACATATCTGGGTTGGTAAACATTATCGGAATTATATATTAACTAACAGAAACGCGCTACCTGATTACGGCTATCTCCTGAGTTTCCACCGGTGCCGCATCGTTAACAAGCTGAACAACACTTTCTTATCGCGATGTAGTGTCAGCGTGATAACGGACATACCACGTAGCAGCAACAACCTTGCAACAGAGATTACTCAAAACATTATTCACCAATGCGGCAGGAGAAACCTGAAAATGGGTAGATTTTTGAAACAGGATTTAAAATTAAGAAATGCGCCAGACGTTTAGTTCTTTGTTAATGACCATTCAGTTTAAGTACTGAAGCTTCATCTTCCGGGGTGTTTTTGTGTGGTTCGTCAAAGGCAGCGTGGGCGCAAGTGCACCCATCGCAGAGACTGGAACCGCCATTTAATCACCGCTTAAAAGGAACCGTAACGGAGCAAAAAGCACAGATATGTACTGCGTCGTTGCGCTTGCAGTTATAGAGGACAGGTCTTGCAAAACGCTTTACTATCAAAAGTGCGCGCCGTGGTAGCAAAACTATCACCGGTCATGAAAGTCAAATAACGTGAACGTTAGCGGAGCTGTTAACAGAGTGTATTTTGCGTGATTACGACTACGGTATCTGTGAAATTTCAATCCCTGCCGCATCGTTAACGAACAACGCGGAATTATCGCAATGCGATAAGCAGAAGTATCAACTGAATAGGCAGAATCCCCAAATGTGGCAGATATAACCGGAAAGAGAGTTAGAGTAAATAGTGCTTCTCAATATGAGTCCGTAAAACTGGGAAACGAGTTTGACTTTCATTTCCTGACAAAAGACACCTCAGATCAAATACATATCTATGTACAACATTACAAGTACATTAACGTTCACTAGCGCCACATGTTCACTAGCGCATAGAGATAGTAAGGACAGATACTCAGGTAGACAAGCTGGCAGACAAGTTAAACGACTAGCGCAGCACACTAAAAGACTACGAACTAATAATTGTGACTATATTACTTACACCGGCAGCTGTCACCAGAGCGGCTGAGATACGTTTTCACAGTGTCGTGAAATAATATTGTTGTTCCAGTCCGCAGACAAACTCTCCCACTTAAATGGCCCCAGCGCTCGATGTACTCTACTGCGCACAGTCGACGCAACTGAGGTAATTTCGTTGTTGTCAAGCGGATAATACTGCAACAGGTCACGAGCGAGATACTGCTGCCACATTGGATATTCGCGTATCTGGTTCATATTTAAATCCATACTGGACAGATTTTGGCTGTCGTGCACTTCCCGGCCAAAATACCTTAAAAAATCATGGTTATGAACCAAGACTTTATTGTTAGTAAAAGTACTGCTTTGGGCAGAAACCGGTTGTGGGTGACCGGTAATCAGTACCAATCGCCATCAGCAAACGTTAATAATCTGTTTAATAAGAGTTTGTTTTGATTTTTGGCAAACTGTTGTGATGTTTCTTGCATCGTACAAGATACTGAAATATATGTGTTAATTTTATAAACGACTTTCACCTTAGTCGATTCAGTAGTTGCACGTTATGTACCTTTTCCAGTACTCGGTATACTGGTAGCCAATTTTCGCATGCGACCGCAGTACCGCGTCCATACAACGTTCCTCTTCGGAAGACAGTGGAGACGTTATGAAGCAATCAAACAGTTCATCCGGGCTTCCATTAAAATGTCCATAGGCAGGAGAAATGTCGTCACTTCTGACAGTTTTCTTGCTTAGCTCAATGCGAAGAACCACCGGTATCGCACATACGTCCTTATTACATGGCTCAAAATGACGGTAAATCTGAACGTTATCATAGTGCACAACTAGAAATTGTACGTGAATCCCAACAATGTGATCGATGTATAGGTTTAAATTCTGCAGCGTTAGCGTGAGAGTGGCATTACCACAGCGGCTCCAAAGTTTTTTAACCATGTTTGCGATGCGCTTGAGGTTTGAAGAAACTGGACCCTCGTAGTCATAGGTACAGCCGTGATCGTCAGGATCGTAAAAGAAAACATAGTGTTGCAGTCCTGCACTACGATATTTTAGCAAGAGTTCCGCTTCCGGCGGACAACTGCCCAATGGCCAACGCAGAATGACATAGCGAGTGGATTGGACAACGAAATGTTTCAACAGCGTTTCGCCGGCAGGTTTATCAGCACCGGTCTGCCCCCATTTTTGGATGTCCACGATGATACTCTTTCGGACCAACGGGGAATCATTGACGATAACTTCCCAGCGCCTGCAAACTCTGCAACAAAATAAGCACGCATCGCGTTTGGACTTGAATGTAAGCCGAATAAAAATTAATGAAAAATTATCAAATTCACTAACTTGGTACTTACGTCGAACACTGGGATAGGTCAAATATATCCAGGTACGAGAAAACATGTGCTACGAGTTCGATGGGCACAGTATGAAACGGGCAAAAGCGATTAGCCTGCACATTTTCGAAGCAGGCTGCTGGATGTGTCGCTTCCTGTGTAGCGCCTTGTTCTGCTTCCGGTGTTACTTCCTGCGTATCTTGCTGTGTTGGTAAGAATTCCGATGGAGCATTTAAGCACTGCTCTATTGCAGCCTTGATTTCCTCGCAGTCTTCCGGAAGAGCAATGTACCGAATGATTACGTACTGCCTGAAGCCTAAAAGTGGCAGCTGATACTCTACCGCAGGATCAGTAAGCTCATCAGCACCATATTCCATTGAATCAAGCTACCGAGTAGATATCTGGATGAAATCAGCCTCAAGATCCGTAGCGATGCAGAAGGTAACAAATAAATTAATGAGTAAAATGAGTGAAAACTTACAGTACTTTTATTATCGTCACCAATAACCAAGTAGAGGTAAGCCACAGAGAATTTAATCGTGACCACTGCAGTTATTCGTAAGTCGTGAGTCATAACTACCGTAATTGTCTGCCGTTTAAGGTAAAGATTGGCTCTTAATCGACTGTTTTCGTTCGGTTGGGGTTTTCATCCAACTTGTGCAGGTTGCCGTTTAGCAGAGATCACGCGTGATATAGCACTATTTTAGCATGAATATTGCATGTTTCTCAAGTGTACTGGAACCGGTTTTCGCAAAATTTACGTTGAGCAAGTCTTTTCGGTCTACACACGGAAGACCGTAGCTAATAGCTGTCTAATTGAATAGTACTTGTATTAGGAATAACATATCAACCCTTTTACTAACATCCATATCGGAAAGCAAATCAGATGGATTCTTGAAATTGTGCTCTAACAGTTAACAATTAGTTTTAGTACGAATTTGAATCAACCGTCTCGGCGCACAGTAATTCTTTAGTTATGCACCAGGTATCTGTTGAAATAAGGAAAAGTATGGTAACATATTATCATATTAATTATAAGTTGATGAAGTGTAAGCAGGACATAATAAAATTGCCACAAGAATCAAGCTTTCAGGCTGAGCTTTTTGAGCCCTCGGACATCTTACCCACTTTCCATTATAGCTTCCTATTACGATTTTTAACTTTTTTACTATTCGATTTTTTACTTCCTATTACGGTTTTTTACTTTTTTACTTTTTTTACTTTTTTATTTACTTTTAAATAGTGTGCCCATTCTAGCATTGTAATTAATCGGTGTAAGGTTTATTATGTTCATTTTAAGATCACTTACATCCACAATGTAACCGTATTCACAAGCTGAACTTATCGATGTTTCTGTTATAAGCGGACGAAACTTCTATGTGGCAACTGTAGTGGACTTCAAAATTTTGTCACATTCGGATGACCAACAAAACAGGAGACGCGCAAGCCTTTGAGTACTTGCACCTTGCGCATTTCCCAACGAAAACAGTTAACTGACTGATATCTCAGTCGAAAGAGAAAACAATTTCAAGAATTTCGATACCAAACAGGTCATCCTTTATGAGATCTAAGAGAAAACAGAACCATTTTTAGTTTGTCGTAGACAAAAGCTACGATTTTGGTGTGAAAACTGAATCCAAACCGTGGATTCAATTCCTGTTTAATTGTTAACAGATTTTTGTCAAGTCTAAGGGCGACGTCTGACAATTTTCCTTTGTGTAGTAGCAAAGTTCCGATTTTAAAGTATCGCCCTGATTCCGAATGAACTAAATTTCCCAGTTCACCAAATCGGGGATTGATCCCTCTTGGTTAAAAGGGTGGCCAGGAGGATCTAAACGTGGTGCGGTACTGCGGATTCTCACTGACGAGACCGTGCTACATTATGGGTCCGGCGGGCCTGATCTTCCTAGGCAGCCAGCACCTACACAAACCCTCTAGGTCAGTCGCTTTCCTTTAGGACCTCAATTTCCCATGGCCGGAGATAAGGAACCATGCACCTTCTGTCAGAAATTGTATTGTAGGGGGGCTGGCCTGGCGAGTCACATGCGAGCGTGCAAATCACGACCAGCTGGGACTGCTCCATCCACCTTACGCAATAACTCTAATGGAGCTGCGCCTACAACGCCCACACCCGCTCCAGATTTTTGTTCTACCAAAGAGAAGATCATGCGACGCATCTCGCACGGCGCAAGACCGACCGCCAGAGATTCACTGCAAAAGACTCTCCTACACGTGGCGAGCCAGAATGACAGCAGATCATGGCTCAAGCTGTTTGCCTTCGCTCCTAATGCTCTTCGGCTTCCAGCAAAAACGAAATCTGAGCGCGTTGGCTCCCTGGCAGCCGTAGTGAAGAAGAACCTGGGTCTCTACGACCGTGACATTGGGATTGCACCTACACTATAACCCCCTACGAACCCCAAGAAGAAGCGGAGCAGTCAGCACGATCTCGTTCGTCAAGTCGGCCTCAAAATTGACGATGGGTCCGTCTCCGGCGCAATGCGTGTCATTTCGTCGACAGATTCAGTCGCATCTATAACCGCAGACGTGTTGGAGGAGCTCAGGATGAAGCCCCCGAAGAGCCCTCCCCCTGTAATACCTCCGCTCGACCCCGCATCCGCAGCGCCACCTATAACCGCTGCGGACGTTTTTGCAGCGATCCATAGTTTTCCACGGGGCTCTGCTGCCGGACCAGATGGTTTGCGGCCACAACATCTTCTGGACATCACAGGCCCGAAAATGGATGAGCACAGCAGCCAGTTCTGCGAGGCGCTGGCATCCGTCCTAAACATAGTGGTGAACGGAAAAATCCCGTCCGACATCCGTCCGATATTTTCGGGGGAAAATTATTGGCATTAGGAAAAAAAGACGGTGGATTGCGCCCGATTGTGGTTGGACTGACATTTTGCCGTATAATCGCGAAGATCGTTTGCTGCAAAGTGGCTGACCGCGTAACTGCCACCGTGTGCCCATTGCAGCTAGGATTTAAGATACGCGGTGGAGCTGAAGCCATAGTCCACGGAACCAGAAAATACATTGAATCCAGCCCTGAGACCGTAAAAGCTATCTTGAAATTGATTTCAGGAACGCCTTTAATACTGTGTCGAAAGAAGCTGTGTTGAAAGCCGTGCACACACATTTTCCGGAATACCGCGCGTTCCTGCAGTCAGCTTATGCACAACATTCTTCGCTTTACCTGGACGAGCACATTTTAACATCGGAATGTGGGGTGCAACAGGGAGATCCTTTGGGCCTATTACTATTTTGTCTTGTTCTTCATCTTTTGGTCATTACCTTGACCACCGAGCTCAATGCCTGGTTTCTTGATGATGGAACCTTGGGCGGATCCCCTGCAAGCGTGTTGGAAAACTTTGCCCGAATTGTTGACGGCGCACGTTTTATTGGGCTAGACATCAACGTTGCAAAGTGCGAACTATTTGTCTTTGGTGGGTCGCAAAGCGCTCAACAGGATGTGATTGCCGACTTCGTTGCCCGCCATCCTCAGCTCCGCGTCATATCGAGTTCCACCCTTATGTTGTTAGAAGCCCCGGTGTTGGACGATGCGATTGACTCATCGCTCACTGAGAAAGGTGCGTCACTGATCAGAATTTGCGAACGGCTTCAGTTGCTACCACGTCATATTGCGCTGTACCTCCTGAAACACTGCCTTGGCGCGCCGAAAGTCATATACTGTATATGCTTCGTTGCTGCAACGCATGGAGGTACCCCGAAAAACTGTACGAAATGGACGAGATGGTGCGCTCCTGTTTCCAGACCCTGTGTAATGTTCGAACAACCCATGACGATTACCCATGCTGGCGACAAGCTAGTCTCCCGGTCAGCAGGGGTGGCATTGGCATACGTCGGGCGGAGGAATTAGCTCTTCCAGCCTTTTTGGCTTCGATTAAATAAAACACATTCCTTTGCTATGTCTACCAGAAACTTTAGATGCGTCGATTTTCTCTTAGATCTCATAAAGAACAACTTGTTTGGTATCAAAATTCTTGAAATTTTTATTTCATTCGTTTGAAATATCGGTCGATGGTTTTCGTTGGGGACTGCGCAAGGTGCAAGTGTTAATGTCAGTAGGCCGATGGCCAGTTCCAGATTTGGCTGCTCGAGTAGAGAAAACTGAGAAAAGTGCCTGCTTGCGCGCGTTTTGTGATTTCATAAGTGTAACAAAATTTTGACGTCCACTGTATACTTTTGGGAAATTCCATTATTCGTCACTGCACCAACAGTCTCATCATGGAATTATAATATGTACATATGTTCAGAATTACACGCACAATGTGTAAAAAACATCAAGATCGCTTTATGTCGCACTAAACTTTAATGATTTCTTTCATACAGTATTTCAAACTTCAAAGTCACTTTAAAAAATTTATACAAAACTGAAATTGCTGTTCAGCAGTCAGTAATGCAGTAGACTTTCGGTTTAAGATTTAACGGGAATGTATGATTTCACATGAAGCAATATTGTCAGACAATCCTGTGGCTCTTCCCAAGACCTTAGCCAAGAAGTAAAACTGTTCCTACAAAGGCACAAATTTATCTTACTACTAGTAACTAATGTACGGCCACAGTCCAACAAAGCCAAAACTGGCGACTGGAAATGCCCCTTAATTAGGTAAATCTGTAACTGTTAAAATAAGTCACCAGAGCGGCTTTGACACACTGGTGCGAAACCGGTGGTAAGCGGTAGCGTTGGCCAGAAAGCTAGATGAGCCTAACCACTCTAATGGCCCCAAAGACCTCTGTACCGCACTGAGGCCACTGTGACTATCGGCGCACATTCCATAGGTGCCAACGGGGTATTGCTGCAACAGGTCGCGCGTGAAATATTGTTTCCATAAAGGATACGTACGGATCTCCTCCATAGTTAATTCCATTTCGGACAGACTCTGATTAGCGTCTACTTCCCTTCCAAAGTACCTAACAAAAGGTGAATCAGTAAATGTCGGTAACGATTACCAAGGTAACTTATTTATCTAACTTATTCACAATATGTATATCATTAGTCTCTCAGAAATAGTAAACCAAAGTCCATGCAAAAGGTTGCGTTATCGGTGGCTCGCCACCCAGAAGGGCCAGTTTGCTGCAAGAATGACAGCGACCTGTGGCCATAAAATGTAGCACTAACAATATACAGAATTGTCGCCTTTCCGGTATCGGGCAGTTACCTTTCCCTGTATTCCAGATAACTATGACCAATTTTTGTCGGCGATAGCAGCACTTTGTCCATACAGCTTTCTTCCTCTTCCGACAGCGGAACCGGTATAAAACTACCAAACCGCTCATAGTCGCTCCAATTTGGATCAATGTCGGTATGGGCGATAGTCTTCTTGTTGAGCTCAACGCGGAGAACAAACGGTTTCGGGCGCGCAAGCCGACCCCGACCGATAGGTTCGAAATGGCAGTTAATTTGGACATTGTCATAATGCACCGCGGGAAAGCGATCGCGAATCTCATGCCAATGGTTTGTGTAGAGCTTCAAATTTTGAAACGTTAACGCTACGCCCGTACTGCCCAGGTTCTGCTGAATATTCCTCACCAGGATGATTATGCTGTCAATGCTGTTCGCAACTAGACCCGAGTAGTCGAGTAGTCGTAAGAATAGTCATTTTGCGACACGAACCGGCATTCATCAGGTGCTTGTATGACAAGTTCCGCTTCCGGTGGGTGATAATCCAGTGGCCAGCGAAGAATTACTAGGCAGGTGAAGCGTGTTACGAAACGTCTCAGGAGGGACTCGCCTGCATTTACCGCGATGTGGAAATCCCCCGAATCTTCATCCAGGAATTGCTGTTCATTCAGCCCGTTCGTATACCATTTGTGGATATCAACAATGACACTCTTTCGCACCAGCGGGGATTCATTGGCGATGATTTCCACCGCTTGCAAACCCTGCAACACAATGACTTAACTAAACTGTTATCGAATCGAAAGTTGCAAGGGGTGTTGAAAAATACAGAAAATTCCAGAACACTTGCAGAATTTCCCTTGCATGGAAGTCATTAGCTAGTATATTAACGGACTAATCTCAGATTTCTCAAGGTGTGTGCGCATTACTCATACTGCGAAAATATTTTCACAAGAACTTTGACGAAAAGGTACAGGTACATCGAAGCTTATCTCTATCATTTACTTACCTATGGTACTCGTACAACTTGTTATGCAAAAGCTTGAAACATCACAATTTTTACTACAGCAAAACATTGGAATTGAACGTAACAATATAATCGAGCGAACTTCAGCGATATCCGGCCCGAGACGTAGTTAGAAATCAGAACCGCCCCATGTTGCAGCTGGGCTTAGTCTTAATTTCGAAAGTTTCGTTATTTTGATTTAAGATTTCTTGTCCAGCAGTGATTACGCTTGCAAGATGTTGATAACAAAAATGAGAGCAAATTAAGAAACCCATTTCAAATGTGCTTATGACTTAAAGCTAAATTTGTGCGCATTATGAAGCTAACCAATGCACAATTAATGCAACTTAAATCAGTTCTGCGACTGCGGTGAAATTACGTAACGCTGATGTGCTTAGCGATCAAAATATTTAGCTTACATGGAACACCGGGAAATGTCGAATATATCTAGAAATAAAAAGGTGCGCGCAACGAGCTCGATGGGGAGCGTATGGAACGGGCAGTTGCGCTCGGCCGCTTCGATGTCGGCCTTGGAGTACTTTGGAAGAAATTTCCATCTGCGATCTGTGCATTTAAAACCGATCAGCACAAAAAATTCGTGCAGCGGTTGAATTTTGATCAGTACTTACGTTCAGCCATAGTTCCTCCAAAAGGTAAGCGCAAGAGTCAGGCTAGTGACTTTGTGACTTTTTAAGGACAATATCGGCGCAGCTGCACATCTTGCAGTAAAGTTAGCATAGTGGTCTACTCGTTCGTTCACAGGTTAACACTAGTAGTGTTTGGTAACTTAGCGCACTCACTGCTTCGAACTGCCAGAAGGAGAACAGCACCTGAAAAAGTCGAAAGTTATAGTATTATGTATTTCAACAAGGAGTGCGGGATGACTAACGTTCACGGTGAGCACCTGTAATAATTTGTCAGGAAGGCCGATAACATTATGGTCGCGCGCATAATGGAGGTACTAGTAAATGCGGTAGCGTACTGATTGCTTGAAACTGTTTGATATTTGCAGCTTGCTGCTGCATATGCGCTATTTTACGCGAAGCAGTCGTGTGTCAGCACGCCGGCATATCGGTCCATCGTAATGTCGTTCAACTATTGGCGTAGCAGATCAGCACCGTTTAATCGTCCAATGTTCATGGCGTTGTCGTGCAATATAGAAATAGAATGAAAGACGTGTTGTGTGCGATGGAAATATGCACTTCCCGGACCACGACCAGTCGGGGGAATAGAGCTACTCTTAATCTCAACTTCTTATGTATTTCATGGAGCGAAAGGTTAAGGATGTTGATGTACAAGTATGAGATGATATGCAAGGATGAAGAAGAGGATCCGGAACTCGAAAGCCTGCTGAAAGAGAAGACACGAAAGGAAACACAAGGGATGCGTGATGTTATACGTTTCCTGTCCGACGCTAGATGGTAGCCGAAGCGTATGAGTATGACAAATCCATCAACCTGGCGCTACAGGGCATGAAGATCGAAGGGACCGAAAGGTCAAGGCAAACAAGTGGGATCAAGTGGGTAGCCTGTTACGTCACGAGACTATCCGAAGATGATAATGCACGTCGACGAAGTAGAGGAATGACCCCTGACAATAGGTGAAAGGTCACCCAGAGGTCAGTTTGAACAGCCTCACTTGGAAAGAGAAGACCAGAGCAAAAGCCTGAAGTTAATCAGATCGAGTAACAAGACTCTACTTTTGTTGGGATTACAACTCTTGACATTTGTGTGGGCGACGAGCGCCTTATATAGCCCTGGGCACCGCAAGTGCTGGCTCTTCGTACGCGCAGGTACGGGTCTGAGAACAATAGGGATTTAGGATCTAACCAATAAGAGACATCTGAGGACACGTGGACTAATCACACCGCTGCACAACTACACGTGGACAAATGAGAACAAGAGGTCAGCTAATACACTAGAACAATAGGTTGAGCTACGTCATCGAAGCGCGGTCACGTCGAAATGGCAAGTCGCGGTCAAAGTTCTCTGCTGGGGATTTCTGAGAAGTCGAAGTAGAGACTCGGGGTCAGGACTCGCGTAGAAGATGTAGTAAAGCCTAAGCCTTAGTTGTAAGGGTAGAAGTAGTAAAGTAGTACCGATGTGTACTAAGGGACGCCAGTACACGTCACCCCCGCAAACGAGATTTCTCTGGATCGTAGTGGAACAAAAGTGAAGCTCTGCGGAACGACGTGGAACGAAGAGGAAGGAACATAGGGACATAGGAAAAAATAACATCTGCTCCATCCGCATAGTGCGTGCAACATCTAGCACTATCGCCAAATTCCATCCCGACTATCCGGTGCCATCAAAAGTAAGTAACATCGCTTGATCCGGTAAGTTGTAAGTGAGTTTGAGTTATAGGTCATCGGATCCTGGAGCGTAACTGGCAATCCGGAAGTCCAAGGAGGTGGAAAGGCGGAAGGCAGGAACGTCCATGAGATCCAAGGTGTTATCGTATTTAAAAAGATGTTGAAAAAGATGTTGTTTTAGCATTAAGTGCTTTAAGACTGATCATTTAGATGTTATTCCGTATTATCCGACTGGCAACAGCACGAAAGTATTCGTCTACTAAAACCACTGCACTACGAACAACTAATAAAAATTAAAGGATTAAAAGCCTAACTGCAACAAGGAAGGTTATATCTGCACTAAGTCACGAAACGTGGTAGGAAGCGAACCATCAGACATTATACTACGAAAGCTAGTTAAGAAGAAATTCTATAAATCATACTGCACTGATAAGAAATACTAGTTTAGACTAAGTTCAGACGATACGCAATGCAAAACGCTTAAACTGACAACATACTACGAAAATTAACAAAAACTGAGAATTCTAAAGTTGCTGACTGTGATAAAATGTAGGATCTGTGCATCATTCTATTCTACAAAGCGCTCAACTGCAATACTGCATAAATGGACTAAAAGACACTACACTACGTATGTTAATAAAAATACAAGTTCTACTGCACATGCTGCGAAAGCTTATCTGCTAATTCAATGCTGTCTGTACGTGAAAGCAGAGCTGATTGATGGACTGAAAGTCATAATACTACGAAAATTAACAAAAACTGAAGCCAACTGCTATACTGCTACTGAAAATGAAGAGTAAATCTGCACTTAAGATGCAATGATAAAAGATCTACAAGCGATTAAAGCCGAGACACTACGATAAGCCACAAAGTTAGCGCTATTAAAAATCATACTGCAAAGGCAATATCAACTTAACAAGGCAAAAAGTTCAGAATTTAAACACAACAATATTATTACTGAGATATAGACGATATAAAGGATTTGCTGGATCTTAAGCCGTCTAACTACGAACATTGAACGAAAAAGAAGTTTTACCGCTACAAACACCAATAATCGAAATCCTGTAAGCTTATAACTGGATGATGAGAAACACACACTAAAGCCGATATCCTACGCTGATTCACAAAAATAAAGTTCTACCGCAACATACTACAAGTGCACTGGTTTTAACTGCTACAGAAGATTAAGAAGACATCGATATGGATATAAAGACCGCTAGCCTACGACATTCGACAAAAAGACAGAAATTTGACTACATACCGCACCGACTGAATTTGAGAGAATCATTAATTAATCCAGCTACATTGCCGTCATAAAGCTCTACACTACGAATTCTCGACAAAAAAATAATTCCTACGAAACTGGCCATCTGCATTAGCTCTAACGCACTGTTGGTTAAAGAAAACCGTTACACGTCGCGCTGACTCAACATGCCGATAAACTACGAGAATTACTAAAACTACTACCGAGACTCTAAATACCGCAAGTAAGGATTTATATAAGACTTTCCACACATCCATCTGTATAGACAACACAAAGCCGATCAACTACAAACTACCGATACCGAAAATATTAACCATACACATACCGCATCTATAATTATCTGAAGGTGTTAAAAGTTTTAAGGGCCAACGGGGGCGCCAAGATGTTATCAAGATGATGATAAGATGTTAAAAGTTGTTATTATGATGTTACAAAAAGGAAATTTGCACTACTGCATATTAACATTTAAGGAATCTTGTTCAATGCTCAATTTTATCTACACCCACAAGCCGAACTACTACTAACGACTGCAAAAAGTTAAATCGAAGTTCACACACCGCACAAAGTTATTAGGAAAGGTTCTGGTACGATATCCTTGCATACACGAACACTACTCTACGATACTCCGATACTGCTAAAAGTTACTGCTAACATGCCGCAAAAGGTAAAAAGGTACTGAAAATTCTGCATTTATAAATATTAAAGCGAATATCACATATGTTGGAGTAAGCTTTTAATGACCGCCGATACAGTGATATAAAACCATTACACTACGAAGTTCAACAAAAATTAATACAGAAAATCATATGCTGCACTGCTAATAACGCTTCCTTGACCAAACTGGTTGATATTCCATTTGAAACACTGGACTACGAGTTACCTATACTGAGATAAAAATTACTGCATATTCTGCGAATTACTGCTAAGTTACACTGATTAATAATTGGGTTATTGGGATGCAACCAAATAGTGTGGAATGGTGACACCGATAAGCGTTAACACTATTACCGCAAAAAGTTATTTCAAAATTCTACTGACAAAACTCTATTTTTGAGCTTATTAGCAACAAGCGCGTAATACTGGAAACAACTGTTGATTTAAACCGCTGCAACCGGAGGAGCACCGTTCTCATAGAGCCATTCTACTACAAACAATCACGAAAATTACTACTACCAATTTCAGG